CTGGGGACAGGCGCCGCCGGAATCGCGCGCCCGGCTTCAGGGGTGCGCGGGCACCCGGGCCTGCTTCAGGGTGGTGGTGGGGGCTTTAAGCCTGGCCCGGAGTGGGAGGGGGACGCAGAAAAACCACGGGTTCTACCCGGGGGGGTTCGAGAACTGAGGCAGACTGCGGAGGGGGCAGGGATGCAAACGGGGTGCTCTGGGGGCGGCGAGAGGAGATGGCCCCCCACAGCGCCCCGGATGCTCCGAGAAGTGCAGGCGCCCAGGGGGTGCTGGGCCGCAACTCCCACAGCAGCCCCCCACCCCCAGCCCGGAGACGCCTCCCTCCTAGGCTCCCTCCACCCTTCCCTTCCTCCCCCACCCGACAGCTGGCCCGGGTCAGCCCCTCCCCCGGAGTGGATTGCGGGGTGCATGTGGGGGCCCCCTCTTAACGGCCCAGGAGTCCGGCTCTCTGGCTCTCCTGGGGGTCTCAGCCGGTCGCCAGCCCTCCCGCCCCCCAATCCCTCCTCCTCGCCAAGGCCAGGCAGCCCCGGAATTGGGGGCCGGTAGGGCGAGCGGGGCAGTTGGCCCAGGGGAAGAGATTGGGTGGGGGCAGCGGATGTGAGGCGTGCGGAGGACATGGGGATGGGGCTACCCACTGGTGATGATGGGGGCAGCCGTGTACCCCGAGTCCTGCTGCCCCCACGTCGGGGACAGGGGGACCGTGAGCCCCGCACCAGGAAGCAAGGTTCTCGGCCAGCAGCTGGGGACCCAGGGCTCCCTGAGAGCTGAACCGGGGAGCCTGTCCTTAAAACCCTCCGGTTCCCAACTTTTCTGTTTCCCTGGAAAAGCCAAAGGGTTTGCTCCGGCTGCAGCAGCGCGTGGCCCCCCGCAAAGGTCCAGGCCGAACTGAGAAGCTCCACAAACCAAGGAAACCCAACCAAAAACCGCTCACACAGGGCGGCCCCTTCCACGACAGGGTCCCCTCCGTACCCCGGCCCAGACAAGCGCAGGAGGAAAGAAGCGCAGCATCTCTCTGTTCCCCATCTTTTCCGAAGCAGCCAGAGCTAAGTTACCCAGACTGGGTCTTCACCCCAGGATCTCCAAGAGCGCCCCGAGGGCTCCCAGCAAGCGCAGCCCAGCTGCCAGCAACCAAAGGCGCCTCACACAGCCTCTCTCTCTTCCAAGGCCAGCAGATGAGGGAGGAAAAAAAAAAAAAAATCGCTCCACGCAAACCCGGCCAAGCCTGCTTTTCCTGATTCTCCCTGGTTAACCTCCCCCGACAAAAGCACCCCAGGCGGTGATAACTGACCCTTCTCTTTGGATGGAAGGGGAAAAGAAGAGAAAAAAGGAGATGGCAGCAAGCCGAGAGATGCTCACAGTTTGAACAACTCCAGCCTTCACCACCGGGCTGGGTTCGCAGGAACTGGCGCTCCCTCTCCTCCGTGCTGGTCCTCTCTACTGCAGATATACATATAATTTTTTTTCCGGCTTTCTCCACGACTCTCTTCCGTTTATTTGGAGGGAAGGCAGCAGGGCTACTTTGTAAACAAATCACACACGGCCCTCCCCACCCCACCCCCAGCCTTTTGAAACAGCTGATGGCAGCAAAAAGGTCCCCGTGTCCCCCCCACCCCCCCTTAAATCACAATAAAATCAAATGTCTCCGTGGAAATGTGCTTGCAGCCCGCACACACGACCGACCGTACGTAGATGTCCACACACCCACAGGAGACGGAGGGAGCAGCGGCAGATGTAAGGAGAAGGTCTGGCCCGAATTTGCCAAATCCAAGGGAGAAAATAAATAAATAAATTAGATAAATGTCAGACCAAGCTGCGGGGAGTGGGGGGGTCTGCAGCCAGCCAGAGGCCGATACCTTTTGGAAGGGAGAAACAGCAAGTCGAAATGTTTAAATGGCTTTGAAAAGAAAAAGAAGAAGGACAATGTAAGCCAGAGACATGTCGAAACCATTCTTACCTTGGCGGTGCGATGGTTACATCGGCAGTGAGAGTTCTCTCCACTTCTACGGATTTTTCCAGGAGTATGATTCAGGAGGATGTGCACACAGCAGCACCGTTTGCTTATCCAAAGGAATGTGAGGACCAAGGGTACCACTAAATTCGGGAGGGAATTCCTTGATTCTGCTCTCGAAAGTCAGTGGCCAGCAAGAAAAGGAAAGAAAAAAATCAGAACGGGGGCATCGGGGGGGGCAGAGCTGGGGGTCTGAATGTGAGCTCGGAACTGGGAGAAGGAGGCAGGGAGATCAACTAGGCTTGCGAGGAAAAGGGAGACTGAGAAAGCCAGGTCCTGCTGTCTCCGGAGCTCTCCCTCTGCTATTGGACCAAACTGAATGAAATTTACAAAGCCAGCAGCCAATAGATCTCCGCAGTGGGCTCATCACTACAGAAACCATATCCACACCTACAACCTAGGCAGAGAGCAGCTAATCAGAGGGCAAAACCACAGTGACTTACCCCGAGCTCCCCTGCCAGGGTAGGAGGACAAGACAGGCACCAGCCACCCCACCATGCCAGAGTCTGTCCTCCTGGACCACTGGGGGCTTCCTCCCTACTCTGGGCATCAAACAGCATTCCGAGTCGGCCCGCAGCTTTACATCTTTAACCCTTTAAGGCCCTTCTCCCCAGGAATCCGGGTGTTGCGTTAGTGGGATTATCTTATATTCAATCGATAAGCAGCAACGTCCAAAATATTGTTTTGAAGGGCAGCAACGTCAGAGTGCAGATCTGTAAGACGTGGGGCATCTCTGTGCCCCGGTGAGGAATAGTCCATGTGGACTTGCTTTTGTCTCTGTCTCTCTCTGACATGCTCGGGTGGAGTGGGGGCATGATGGAAATATTAGAGCAGTGGCTGCAGGGAGTGGTGTTTTATAAAAACCTTGTATGCACTGTAAAGTTCCAGAAATGGATCCTTCCCAGTTGGTTTATTGTCCAGAAGTGTGACCTTGTTTTTAAAGTTTGGTCACAAAGCTGGCTTTGAGTGAGTCTAAAGTTCCTATGTGATAAATCAGACATCAGCACTTACCTCACTGAAGGGAATGGGCATGTAGCTCAGTGGTAGTGAGCTTGCACAGCACATGTGAGGTCCTGGGTTCAGCCTCCAGTAACACACCACACACACACACACACACACACACACACACACACATACACACACACTCCAAGCATACACCTGCATGAAACTGAACACAGATTTTTAAGTGAGAATGGTTGGGTTCAAGATACACCTCTGAGCTTCTAGTTAAGCATTTCTTTTTTCTGTTGCTGTATCTGAAACACAAAGATAGTAACAGTCACCATTTCATTATCATAGGACAGTGATCTGTGCATGATGGCGTTTATAGCAGCACCATTCATAATAACTAAATCTTGGAAGTAGCCTAAATGTCCATCAGCAGATAAATGGATAAAGGAAATGGATTTACAGAAAACGGAGTATTACTCTGCCAGAAAGAAAGACACATGTGAGTCATCTGTAGGGAAAGTGGATGCTCCTGAAATCATAATGCTAAGTGAAATAAATCAGACACACAAAGCTTAAATATCCCATGGTTTGTTTCTCTTACATAAGGAGCCCGAATTATCCATCTATAGCAAAACGAAAGATGATAGGAAGTATGGAGATAGATCTTTCTAAAATTGGAAGGGATCAAGAGATGGGGAAGCGGGAGTGAATGGAGAGAAACAGGAATCAGGATGTGTTGCGTCCATGCATCAACTGAAAACAAGAACGTAAGTATTATCTAAGCAAGCACAGGATGACAATAAAAGAAACACAGACAAAGAAACGTCTCACAATGTGCTGATTGTTTTGCTACAGGATGTGCCACTCAAGAACCGTAAATACATATTTGCTTACCCTAAATTTTTTTCATGGTTCATGGTTCATTTTTCTGGAAGAAAACGTCATGCCCTCTGCAGACAGGACTTCCTTCTGTTGTGGGCACTAATCCAAGCCTTGTGTTCACTGTGAGAACCAGAGGGGGTGGCATAACGAGAGATCCTTTGAAAACTCTTGAAATGGATTCTTGGACAATGGGGTTAGTTGTGGGGATGCCCATGAGCAGAGAATCAGTGGGCATGCTTTTACACCAAGGCTCTACCTTTGATACATTTGCATTCTTCAAAGGTTGTTTATATTCTTTGAGTCTTACTAAACAGAGTAGGAGATTACATGTAGCTCTGACCAGCAGATGAATGGATGAAGAGAACAGGGCATGTGGGCACCACGCGGTACTGCACTGCCATGAAGAAGGATGTATTTGAATTATTTGTGGAAAAAGAAATGCACCATGTGGCATACGCTAAGAGCAATAAATCACAAATAAACATAATTTTCACTATCACATGGTTTCTCTTAGATGAGAAACCTCAAGTGTAACAGCAAAAGCAAAGATAGAAGACAGGAAACAGGGAGGCAGATCTTCCTCAAAGCCAAAGGGAACCAAGAGGTGGAGGGAGGAGAGGGAAGGGAAGGACTGAAAAATATTAAGACACAATCTGTATACATGCACACGGGGCCCTGGAGCATAGTGCCTCGTAGGAGGTCTTATGTCCCTGGGGGCATTGCCTTGCAAGAGGCTGTAAGAAGGTTGTCTCCTCTTTCCTTTTCTTCTTGTAAACTCTGAGGCGAGAAGTTTGAGCACCATGCTTGGGTCCTGATAGTCGGCCAGGCCACAGCCTGAAAGATACTAACTGTGAACTGAAGCCTCCCCATCTGTGAGTCAAAATGAAACCTTTTCTCCTTGTAAGTAAGTTGTGTCACATATTGGATGCAGTGCTAAAACAAAGTATGAAAGCACCTTTCGACACACACACACACACACACACACACAGGAGATGATAGAAGAAACACACAATACAGCCAGTAATAGAATAAATAGTATGAATATATATGTAGCCACACATGCATTTGTATTATTGATTAGACAATTTAAAACATATATATATTACATCTAGTATTGGCTACATATTAAAAGCCATGTAAATAGTAGTATTTTAAATGAATGCCGCATTGCCTACAAATCAATAGCAGAGATAGAGATATACAGACATAAATATTGAAATGTAAGTTCTAATTGAAAGATTAGAAGCCACATTTCAATTGGAGCATTCACTATAGTTAGCAAGAGGTGAGAAACTCATAGAGTTTGTCAAGGATGTACCAATACATTGACTGATTTATTTACAAATCCATTCAGTTTTTTTTTTTTTTTTTTTTTTTGAGCCTGGTTGGTTCTAAGCACTGTAAATGTAACTGTGCCTGACATGTATCAATTTATTTTGGAGAAAGCATATGTCTAGTGGATAACAGAGTTAACACCAGGAGATGCAATTACAGGAAGTTGTGCAAGAGTATGTGAGGTCACAGGGACATAGAAAAGTAGAAATGAAAGAGGATTTCCACAGAAAGACTACTCCAGGCAAGGAAGAAAGGGTAACGAGATAATGGTCAGTTGGAGAAGGTGAAATAGGAGCAGAGAAAGCATGCCGGGTAAGAGAGCTCAATGATCAGATATTTGGAAATTGGGAAAGTTTGGCCCAAGAGGCAAGGAGCAGACTTTGGAGAGAGACAGAGAGAGAGAGAGAGAGAGAGAGAGAGAGAGAGAGAGAGAGAGAGAGAGAAATGTATGCAGACATAATTATGGCAGGCTTAAGAGCTATGCTTTAAAAGGTGGAATTTATGTGGAAGGCAGTGAGGAGTTAATAACATATTTTAAGTAGGTGGTAAGGAGGGAAAATCAGATTTATATTTTAAGATAATCATTCTGGTAGCAATATGGAGAAAGAGTTGGAGGAGGGCAAGGTGAAAACAAAGAAAAAAATCAAATGTTTCTGAGATTTTTGCAAAGGATGGTTGCCCTGGAGAAATAAATTTTGAGAGACAGAAGGGAGGGGAGGAGAGAAAGAGAAAGCAATGGAGGAGAAGGAAGAAGAGGAGGAGGTGAAGAAAGATAAAAAGGAAGAAGAGAAGGAAGAGGACGAATAGGAGAATGAATAGGAGGAAGGAGGGGGAAGGAAGAAAAACACAAAAACGGAAAGAAAGAGAAGAGCTAGACACAGGAGTTGCTATGTGGAAAGAGGTCATCGCTGCTTCAACTCAGCAAAACAAACCACTTGGAGAGGTACTGGTGTGCCAAGGGCCAAATCTCAGTTTTAGGCTTAGTCTGTAGATTTTCCAGTTGAGCAGCACATAGGAAGGGTAGGCAGGTCCATTTTCATTCCTATCAGAGTGACCTGATTGAGCTAAGAAAATCTTTTTTTAAATTACAAGCATCTTGGGCAGACAAAAACCTCATTTAAAAAAAAGTGAATGTGACCATTTCAAGAGTTTGTAATTTCCTGTCATCCAACACCCTCTGTGGGAGACCAGGTTTGGAAAAAGAGGCGGTAAATCATAATGGTTCTTAATATCTGGGGGAGCAGAATATAATCCGGTCAAAAGATCTGCAGGATTTCAGACCAGGGGTTTGAGGAGGAGGCCAGGGTGTCATTTTTCCTGATGGTAATGCACATTTATTTAAGGAGTATTGTGAGACAAAGAAGAAAATCGTAGAATGATAAAAGGAGCACCCTACAGGGGAGGATTCATGGATCCATTAGGTGGGTTTGCTACAAGAGATGTGGAAGGGATGTGAGAGATGACCAGTGCTAGCCTACTGATTCTTCCTGCCCTTTCCCTGCTCCTCTATCCAACCGGCACTGGCTAACACCATGATCATGGCTTTGGGGCAGAGACCTTGTGGGATGAGAACACAGTGTGTTTCTACAACATCTATGTACTAGGGCAATCAGAGTGAAAATTTAAAGGAAAATGTTTGACTACGCTCTGCATTGTAATTTCAAAATTTGATATCTTAAGAGCTGATTGAAAATAGGTCACTTTGCTTCAAGAGAAAGAGACTAGAGGATTGCTTTGGTGTTGAGAAATAGGAAGGCTGGGGTGAATTATAATGCACTCAGTCAAAGGAAATTTTAACGCTGGAAAAATTGAGATTCTGGCCTGAGATGATGGCGTTTTGTAGTAATGCAAATTTCGCACAGATTTTGGGTCTCCGGATGAATAACATTTGGCTCCTATAGAAAATCTGAGTGGAATATCCAGGTCTGAGAGCACACTTCATGAATATGATGCATCAAAATATTTGGTAGAAGAAAGACAGTGTTAGATTAAAATTTTGGATAGAGCAACACTGACAAAGGTCTAGATGGTACTGAGAAAAATAGAACCATTAGGAAAAGACTTGGTAAAAGAAAGCACAGTATAGACTTCAAGGAGGGAATTTTAACTCAATGA